AAAGCTAAAGTGAGAAAAGAAAGAAAATTAATAATAATTAATTAGAAAATTATTAATTTAATAAAACTATAAATTAGGTGTGACACACATGACTAAATTAATAAAAGAATAAAGCTAAATATAGGTAATAATATAAACTAAAAATAAAATTAATTATAATAAGATTAATTAATATAAATTATTTATTCATCTGATTTAGTAGCGATTGGTAATTACTGCATCATATATTGTGATCATGTCATATACTACATCATATCTACTATACTACATGAATAAATGATTGATTATAATATTTACATTAAAAAGATAATAATACTATTTTTCAAAAATAAATATTTTTGATTAATTTATCTTTAAAAAATAAATATAATTTATTATCTAATTTAGTACTATTTATCTGAAAAATCTAATAAATTATACTAGGATAAATTTTTAAGAAATCTATAGATAATACTAAATTGTTAAAATTTATAATTAATAGAAATAAAATAATATATTTTTTAAGAAGTTAATCAAGATTAAAATTAAAATTCAAAATAAATAAAAAATAACTTAAATTTTATTATATTATAATTTGTAATCAGTTTTTAATAAATCAAATTTTAAATTTTCTAATTGAATTCTGAATTTTTATTATATCTAATTAAAATTAAAATAAGTAAAATATTAATATAAAGTCTTTTCAATATTTTTAAATTAAATTTTATTTATCAAATTAATTAAAATATTTGAAAAATTTACTGAAAAATATTTAATTAGATAATTTAATTGATAGATTTTTTTGTCTGATTTTTGAAACATATAATATCATTAAATTATATTAAATATTAGTATTTTAATTATAATGAATAAATTAATTAAATTACAAGATTAATATATAATAGAAAAAATTCAAAATAAATATTTATTTTTGAAAATAGCTTGTATTATGAAATTCCTTTATTTATTCTAATAAAAAATATTTCTTGCAAAATTTTGCTTTTAGTAATGCTTTATAATATTATAAAGTCACGTGTAATATAAAATTCTAATCCTAATTTTAATTCTATTATCGTTACACATTGATATTGCGATTTGATTGGTTTATCCCTTAAAAATCACGTGACCCGTCACTTTTTTCGCTATACTAGCCAAATACAGATTTTATCAAAACAAAAAAAAAAATAAAAATTTTTAATAACAGTTGATTGGTAAGCCCTTCAATGTTACCGGCGATGCCAAATACTTCAAAAATCACGAAAACAGGAGGTCTGGTGGTTTGTCATGCTGTGGAAACAAAAGTTCGACGTCATATTGCTGCCTTTATTTGATCAAATTCTTTCTTCCTCAATCGATAGTAGTGCCTAACGTACCCGAAAAGTATCAAGAACGAGCAAAGGCAAGAAGGCGGGGTGCTGGGTAAGCGAGGAGCTACTTCAAAACCTTTTGTTATCGTACTCAAAACGAGAAATTGTTTCTTGTCTCGAACAGAACACATCAAACTGCAATTCGAAACTTCACCATTCAAATTCCTAAAAAAAAAGACGCGCAACAACCTTCACCTCCTTCGATAACATCCACTTCGCCTACAACTCATTTTCCTTTACCCCTGTCAAATAATTTATCGGAAGCTAATGAACAAGCGAAAGAAACTTTGTTAGCATCAAATACACCTCCTGAACCAATAATATCAAAGACTACAGAGAACTTTAACCATATTACTTCTACTAATACCGATTTGAATGTTAATGATGAAAATGATAGCGATAATGATGATGCAATAGTTCCTGATCGTTTAATCGTATCAAAACGAACAATTTCTTTAAATCAGGCTGAAGTTGAAAATCCACTATATAATAATGCATTACAGCTTCCGACCACAAAAATATCTAAGGAAGAACAAATTAATACATTAATCATTGATGAGGATGATGACGACGAAAGTGATGATAATGTAGTAGAGGCGGAGAATAACGCTGAAGATGAGGATGTGGAAGAAGGGAATGATGATGATGATGATGTTGATGATGTTGATGAAATAAATCATTCAGACGAAGCTGTTACAAATATTTCAGATGATAATAGAGTGGAAGAAATCGAGCAACCAGTAACTGTTAAAAAGACGCGGCGCGTTATATCACGAGGCGGTTCACGACGTGCAAAAAAAATAAAATGTTATAAATTCAAACCTCCTTCAGTTCGGGACAAACATGGGAAAATCATTAAAAGAGCGGCAAGAGTTGGAGTGAATACGATCGATGTCATCGGCGAGACAATCTATTCGACGATTATAGGATACAAGTTGGTAACAATTTCCATTTTAATAATTTCTATTAAACCCGACACCTATACTTAAATGTTGTTTTAATCTCGTAGTGATCAAAGCACCTTTAAAAAAGAGTTACAACTCTTTAAGGAACAAGTTGAAGTTTTTCTAATTAAACAGGTTTGTTATAATACCTTTGTCTGTGTTCTATTGCATCACATTGTTTAATGGTTAATCTTTCATCAACGGCTGCCAATTAGACTGATCTAAGTGATGAACATGTTCGTCTACGGTCTTCTTTGCGAAATGCAAAGTCAAGATCAAATCAATTGCGCAAAGAATTGCTCAATATTCAAAAAGAAAGGGAAAATGCTTGTCGAGAAAGATATAAAATTCAAACAGAATTCGACAGGGAAGAGAAAGATATAAAGGTTATTAATTAATTATTTATTATTGTCCCATTTTAATTATATTTTTATTGATAATCATAAACATTAATAATAATAATATTATTATTATTATTATAGAATTTCGAACAAATTCACGATTACTTTTCTGAACTTCAGACATTAAGAGAATCGGTGTATGCTGATGAAGATACGATGGAAGAGGATAATGAAATAAAAGTAAAAAATATTTGTGTATTTTTTTAAAAGGTTAATTTTACTAGTCACCTAATCATATTTTAATATTTAAAATTAGGATTCCTTCGAGAGCCTATTAGCAAACATTACTACTCGTTGTGGCGATCTTTCTATTTCATCATCTATCACACCAAGTGCAAATAGAAATGTTGGCTTAGAAGAACAAGAAGGTTATGGAACTCTTGGAATCATACGAAGGTTCAATAATTTATTGGAAGTAATGGATGCTACAATTAGAGAAGCCACTACTAATACGGAGAATGGGTGTTGGATAAACAAATAGTGATAGTAATTAATCATAATTATTACATAGTGTCATTAACTAATGCGTGTTATCTTGACGAACGATTGTCGCGCAGTTGTATATATAATCTTGTTTAATGAACTATTATCGCAAAATTGTATATAATTATTGTGTATAATAAAATGCATCGAATAGTGATCACGCTTTCGCTCCACCCACGTAATCAACGGGAAAATACAGTAGGGTGTGCGTTTAAAGAGGGTGTGTGCATTTAGGGAGGTCGGACTGTGTACATATGTGTTAAATATGTGAAGTAGGAAGTAGAAATGATGGGGTTGCATTTTGTGATTTATTAATAAACCACATCATTTTTTGCATATTACAAAGAATGACGATATATAGACCAATATATGTGTATATATAATGAATATATCATCCCAATACTGTCTAATTACTATTATCGTTCTTCTATATGTCAAATTGTCCATTATTCATAAGAATCATTTGCCGATTCATTCCCAAGAACTCTCTACAATCTCCCGTACGCGTCTGATATACTCTTTTCTATTCTCTCGGTATAAATTCGCTGCTTCTGCATTTGCTGGTGAATTTGGATTTGGATCATGCAATAAACTTTGAATACTTGTTAGGATTGCAGCCACATCATATGTCGGCGACCACCGATTCTGCAGAATATCTAGACAGAGCTCTCCGTTTGCATATACATTCGGGTGAAACATTCTTGAAATGAATTTTACGGTGGGTGGTCTATTTGGATAATTTTCATCAAATTGAAGTGTGAGCTTGAATGTGCCATCCTCAAAAGGAGTTTCAGCTTTTGGTAAATAAGAAATGATGATTATTATTATATGAATTAATTCCTTTTCGCAATCTAGCATTAACGCTCATTTCTCAATAACCGAAAGCACTTACCAGGTCCAAAGATAACAGCATTCCATAACAGAATATTATCCGTACAAGGTGCACCTGAGATGCCTGTCGGAGGATCATTTTGAAGTCGTTTAAAGTCACGCATCAGCCTACGACGAGCTTCCGTTGACATTGCGTTAAAGCGACTGGTGAATGGTGGTTGTTTTAGTTAGTGCTAGTGTATGCTATCGAGATTAGTATCTTGATAAATCAAAAAAAAAAAAATGGAGAAAGGGTAAAGACTGAGTTTGAACTCGAAATGAGAAATCAATTGGTCAACTTTTTTAGGTTGGTTGGTTAACGAGTCTTAATAATGCTGATCAAACCTGATTTGAGAACATGATTGAAGATCCAAAAATAAATAAATAAATTAGATAACCCCGATGCGCAGTTAATTAATTACTTCATTCCAAATTCCCACATTTTTTCTTTACCAAACCATGTCATCTTCGATACCGCTTTCCATTCAATCCTATTCTACAGTCGAGGAACTTTCTGTGGCTCTTGCTGACTTATTTGTAACACTTTCGGTCGACGCTATTCAAACTCGCGGTAGATTTACTGTCGGTTTATCGGGCGGGTCACTACCAAAAATTTTAGCAGCCGACCTCGTGAAGAGAGTTGACGCGGTTGAATGGGAAAAACTGACAGTCTTCTTTTGTGATGAACGGTAAAAAAAATTCGCCTTCTCAGTGATAATGTTATTTTATCGCTGTGTTTACACGTGATGTTGTCTCGTGATATTCTAGACTTGTTCCGCTAGATCATGAAGATTCAAATTATCGACTATGTCGCGAAGAACTATTCTCCAAAGTGCCTATTCCTGAAGAACAAATTCACAAGATTAATCCTGATTTATTGGAGAATGCGGAAGAAGTTGCAGAGGATTATAAAGATCAGTTGATTCATGTCTTTGCACACGTGAATAGCGCAAAATTCCCCGTATTTGATTTATTGTTGTTGGGAATCGGACCAGATGGACACACTTGTTCATTATTTCCAGGACATCAAACGTTAGAGGACACAATCGATTGGGTAATTCCCGAGGAAAATTCACCCAAACCACCGCCACGACGTATCACTTTTACATTGCCGACCTTGAACCATGCACATAATGTTTGTTTTGTGGCTACTGGTGAGGGAAAACAAGACATCTTGAAAAGAATTATTGACGAGAATGATCAAAAGATTCCTAGTGCGCTTGTGCAACCCGTTCACGGGAACTTGTTTTGGTTCTTGGACGACAAAGCGAGTGCAAAATTAACTTTGAGGGAGAAGAAGTAATCCATAGGTGAACAATAATGGTAAACAATTTTATTTTTGTTCAACCGACAATTAGTTTATGGCTAATTATACAATTTACTAGGCAAAAAAAAAACTATTTCGAATTACGGGGTAAGTTAAAATCAACTTAAGTTATTATTATTGTTATTGATTATTGTGTTCTTATAATTCACTCCTTTTCTATTGTTAGATTATATAATTCATTGGTTCTTTGCGCATCATATTTTTAGTTTAATGTTTATGTTTAAATATTATTACTTTTCAATATCATTTTTATTATTATTAAAAAAGATGAATTATTTACTAATCGAGATAATGGAAATTATTTTTAAAAAAATGCATGATATTTATATTTATATTGTATTTAATTTCATAAAATAATTATCACCAAAAGGTATCGTAGAACAATATGTTGCAGATTTATAATTGATAAAAAAGACAAACTAGGAAAAGAGGAGATTTTACACCTGATTTGATCCGGAATATTATGTACCGCTAACTAACTTTGGGCATGAAAAGGTGAGGAGGTTATTGTAGTATATTTTTTTTTTTTTTTTTTTTGGGAGCATTGACCATGTCTGTAATGTTCACTATATTTTAACAGTTTACAAAAATAATAATCTGCATACATAATGGACAAAATAATGCGCACATCGAATAAAAGGCAATAACCCCGGTAGAAATATTTAACTTAACGATCTATCGAACACAAACGAGCGAAGTATCATGAACATAATCAGTATCAGCATCAAGCATCACATAAGATAAAAGAAAATCTCCGCTTTAAAAATACACGAATACACGAGGCATCAGCACGAGACATTACACAAAATCACAATAACGATTTTCATCTCTTTTTAATCAAAAATTCTAAATTTTATATACATGCCCATATCTCGAGAATATTGTTTGGCATGTGAATTTCCTAAATTTGAACTTTGCGGCAAACAACAATATATTTATTATAATATCTGGTGGTGGACATATAACAGCATCAATGAAACAAGTCGAGTATATGCGTATGCATTAATTTCAGTAAGCCAATCGTTAAATATTATATTATATCAGAGATCAATCTATCAGTCTCCACAACAAATCACAACAATAGCATACATACCCGAGTTTCGGAAAAACACAAACTGATCGTGTTACTGATTCTCCAAATTCATATCCTTTTATATTCTAACATTGTCGAGTAGTAGTAGATCTCTTATGTCATGTGATTGATTATTGATGTTGATATGGATTAAAATGAATGTATATGGTCAGAACTCAAACAAACAAGAGAGGTCAGTGCTTTTGTGACTAATATATAAAAAAATTAAAATAAATGCTGTGCATATACATACCCGCACACCACTACCAACGAGATAATTTCACACACACTACTTTGCGCCAAAGCTTTCCATTTTAAACTAAACATGATTTAAAGTTTTTTTTCTCCTACTTTACTTTTTTCTTACTTCTGTTCAAAAAAACTGTACAGGTAAAATTTTTTTGCTGATTATTTATTTACAATTGCTATTAATATTATTACGCATGTATATTTCGTCGATAGGTTTAAATAGCAACTTTCAGTGAAAATTCTTTTTTTTTTCTCAGCCTTTTTCCTTACACTCAATCCGCAAAGAGGGTTCAAACTCTTACGATATTTCGAAAGAAAATTAATTCCCAACTTCGTCCTTTATCTCTCTTAATAATTCGTTCTTTCTCCCCCTCTTTTTTCTCTTTTCAACCAATAGCAACTCATTCCTTTTCGATATCTTCTTTCGCGAAATTTTATTCATCGTCAATTCATTTTGTTCAAACAGAAATATTTCAAGTTCCCAAATACGTAATATACAATAAAAATATATACTACCCGGATATATATATATATATGTATTATATATATATATATATATTAAAAAAATATATACGTATTACATAAAAAAATTTATCTCTCTTTTAAAAATTGTTGGGTTAGTCTATTTTTATATTTTTAGAAAAAAAAACAAAGTTTTTCACCGTCTTCTCAATCCAGAAAAACTTTACTTCACCTTTTCATTCATTCATAATGACATCGTACTTTCTCCCCAATAATACCACAAGTTCTTACCTTCCATCACGCCCAAGTAGCATGAACGCATCTACTTTCGCTGCCCCTCAAATATCAAACAATCAAGGAAATCATAATAGTCCCAATACTCCCGCCCCTAGCCCTTATTATTTGACTGTGCAAGCGCCTCAACCGTTGAATGCTGGTGTTGAGCATCAACCACCTACTTCTCATCATCAATCACAAACACATCATCAATCACAACCTCAACAACAACAGGTGCTACTACAACAACCTTCAGCTAATGGCTGGAATGTTCCTACAGATAAGAGGGGAGGACCTACCTCGCCTTTAGGCTATTCATCTCAAGGCAATCCCGGTAATGGAAACGTCGGTTTAGCTTCTCCGTTCAATGGTTCGTTTCCGTCTCAACCATCTAACGGTCAGTGTAAGTTCGTGTTATCATATGTTTTGGTTTCTTTTCATGCAAGTTATAATATAATTATGTAGTGTACATCGAATCAATGCGCTCATTCGTATCTTTATGGTGTATACGTGTTCTTTACCCATTATTGGATTTTTGGGTAACATGGCATCCACGTTTCATTTGACAATTACCGCATTGACCACATTATATTCCTGCATATTTGTTGTTGTGGCACTTGCATAATTTTATCAATCAGACAATCTAATTGTCAATTCTCACCTCACATTTGCATCTGTCGGTTAGTGCAAGAAGCGAAACCAGTATTACCTCCGCGTTCAGTGCTCGAACAAAATTCCCCGACCTCTCTCGCAATGAATCATTCGTCTCCCATCGTCTCGTCATTTTCTCCAGCTCTCTCGCAAGCACAAAATGACGTATCAAACATTATGGTCAATAATAGATCATCAACCAACCGAACCGTGGCAAACACAAAAAGAGCTGCCCAAAATCGTGCCGCACAACGCGCGTTCCGTCAACGTAAGGATCGTTACATTAAAGACCTTGAGCAAAAAGCTAAGGAGCTGGATAACATTAAGAAGCAGTATGATTCCTTGTTTAAGGAGCTTCAGGAAAAGGATGCCACCATTAACAATTTAAAATCTCAATTGGCTCGATATAAGGAGATTGAATATAGCGATGATGATTTACGTCGTAATAATAATGCGTCGCCATATTCATCAAGTAATAATGACGACGACACACGTGCTTTTGATGAGGAGCCATGGTCAAGACAGAGTAATAATAATAATTCTCATCATCATCATCATCATAATCATCATCATAACAATAAAGAAATTGTTCGTAACAATTCTAATGGTAGCGGATCAAATAATAATCATCATAATGATCATACTTTTTTTGACAAAGAAAGTAATAAAAATACTTATCCATTCTCGCCAACTTCTCCTGATGGATCTCCTCCACAAGCTTCATTAAATCGTCCCGGTTCTGGTCTAACAGAGAATCCTCCGCGCGGTTCTGGCACCATTTTACCACCAGGTCCAAATGCCGACTCGACAATTGACCCTTACTATCGATCGGAGTATCGTCATTCAAATCATTTGAATTCCTCACAAAATATTGCACCAATACCAATATTGCATCAAAATGGTCGTAACTCATATAATCATAATAATAGCGCGAATAATAACAATGGTGCTGGTAATCACCACCACAGCAATCAGAATAACGGTAATCATCGAGTCGTGGTTGTGCCCGGTGAGGAAGACACCGACCGAGTTATGGTAGATGATCTATGCGAATTACTAAGAACTAGAAGTCGACCGACTACTATACCACATACGTTGGGAATGAGCTTATGGACACCGACTAATCAAGGAACTCAATCTGGTGTCAATGGAAATGGAACAGTGGTTTCATAATAACCTTTGTTATCATACGAAAGCACCGACATGTTTAAAAATCTTTGTTATATTTCGGTAAGCTATTAATAATTAACTGATTAATTAAATTTAATTGAACCGTGCGAAATTGCTAATATTATTATTATATAATAGTTTTTTACTTGGAATATATTTTTTATTCGTACAATATCTCATTCACGCGTTTTTCCTTCAATTTTTTTTTCATTTCATATTTAAAAAATTCGCAACCGACGTAAATATTTCCACTTTATGCTGCATTTTACTCTCTCTTGTTATTGTACATTTTGTGAATATCTTATATATACTCCCTCCCCCCCCCCCCCTTTTTTTTTACCTTAATTGCGCAAAAATATATTTTATGTCATTTAAGCGGCCATCATCATCATCATCTATGTATGCTATGAACTCTAAATAAGGCTTCATCTGATTACTTCACCTTTATGTTCCTTTTTTTCTTCTTTTGGAGCGCGCCTGGATGGAGTAAAAAAAGGTCTATATGATTCCACAGTCGCATTATTAAATCCATATTTTATCCTTTTCATTTGTATAATAGTAATCTACATTTCCTTTTTCTTTTCGTTTCTCTCTCACGTTTTTTTTGTACTCTTTAAATACCTCTCGTGTTGTGTCCTCTATATTTTTGGTCTGATCTAATAAGAATCGAGAGAAATCGAGTATGTGCCTATACGCGTATATATATATATGTGTGTATATATGTGTATGTATATATATACATTTATTTTTCGAAAGAAGAAATCTGCGCTTATTTAACATCCCTATCTAAAAAATTTCTTTTAAATTAAATCAGAAAAATTTTAAGGAAATTGTTGAATATTACGTTAATATATTTTAATGTTTTGGGGGATTTTTTAAAAGCGAAAAAGGGGGGGGGGGGTGGGGGGAGGGTTACTTTTTTATTTTTATTATTCAATGATGACTAATGATGATATTTTCTTTACAATATAATTACCATTATATACGAACGGTAGATCAAGCAAACGCACGGACCTTTCATTCGATCAGCAAACGAACAAACAACAACTTAACACACACGAATTTAATTCGACATACATTAACAAAATCTCCGATTACACACATTATAAATATTTTCTCCTTATCTAATGATTTCCTTTTTTTTCCCTTGTACTTTAAAGGAAACAATGGAGATTGATCTCGTGTGTAAGTGTTGTGTAAGTAGTTGTTTGTTTGTTTGTCTTTCTATTTTCCTTATCAATCATCAGTCAATCAATCGCATACTAAGAACCCGGTTTTTTCCTATTCTTTTCTTCTTTTTTTTATTTTATATATATATATATACACATATATATCACAAGCTTATCTTTTCTTTATATCACAAATGCAAATATTTAAAAAGTAACAATCTGCAATTCTATAATTCAATGTTATTTTGTTTTCTATTCTCTAGTCACCCTTTCTTTTGTTATTATTAACGAATGAATGATATAGAATGACTAGAGATTAAGCGACAAGTATCCAATCATCTAAACGAATATTATCAATACTACTTAATACCTGTTAGAAACTCTATTAAATAAAGATTCATGAATATCGACTTTCAAAGTCGAATTAGGATCAAGCAGTAATATCCATCGTGAGCATGATTCGTTGTATTTTTTTTTTTTTGGGTTGAGGACGTGTTGTGTGGGATACTTGCGTTTAAGCGAATTGCAGTGTTGAATATTTCGTGATATTAGAAAAGGAATGGCTTGCCACACACAAAGAAGAAAAGAATTCATTATTTCGGAATTTAGATCAAGAAACCCGGATCTTAGATGCCGGGCTCGAGATACGTCGACGGGGTGAGATTTGCATTACCTAAAATGTATGTTTGGAAAAAAAAAAGAGAATTAGATAATGTAAATCTCGACAATGATCATCCATATGGTAACGCGCATTACATAATCAAGAAAAGATGTGATTGTGTTTAAGATCATGATGTGTGTCTATTGACATATAAACTTCAATGACGGCGATCATGATTATGGAATCGATCGTGTGTAATTAAAATAAGGTCATATTATGGAAGCAATTATAAATGCTCGTATTAGCAAACTTAAGTATGTCCATTGTGAGAATTTTTCCGGTGATCGAATAAAAATAATGTCAAAAATTTAAGTTTAGATGGAAATTCGCATAGGTTTGGTAAGACTGATAAAAATTTTCATGTCATCTCTGAGATCGACAGGGTTCATCATTTTAATAAGGTAAACAAAAATTAAAATTGCAGGGATTAGGTAATCGCTGATTTGAGTCACGCACACAGACGGGAGGTCGAAATCGATCGAATCTCTCATCGATCGGTATCGATTTGAATTATGATGCCATATTGTGTCATATTGCGTACATTCGGTATAAAAAAGCTAAGTAGTTGTTTTTTAGTATTCATTGAATTAATTACCTTGCAATGGTGAGTTACAAATAATCGAAAAGATCGAGAAGAGGAAGGGGTGGCTGAATCTGATTACACACGGAAAGGGATAAAGAAGATTGGTTAATAGTTAGAATTCAAATAAAATAACGAAATAAATAATATTATCTACCTGAATAAAATCGCAAAGAAATACGGATAAAAATGATTAAAAGTGTTCGAACTCGTTTGTTTATTTGATATTTTCTCAGTTAGTCGAATTTTGGTAAGAAAAATTAAGTAGAATAAACGCGTGATCTACATTAACGAAATGTTAAATGGAAAACGGATAAAAAATAACGAGTAGAATAATATATAATAACAGAATGAAGGGAGCCTTGCCAAACAAAATAAGAGTAACGTTGTTGGCTTTTAATCTAACGTCAAAATTTCTTATGTTTAAAGAAGAGGAAAATTAAGGAGGGAAACATAAAGGAGCCTTAAAGGGAATACGGAGCTTAAAATGTTGATTTGCTCTCTCTCTCTCTCTTGCTCGGATAAATCATATTCATCACACCAAGAACGCGGTGATTTAAAAATAATGTATTCTTAGATGGAGTTTGCTATTGATGGTTTGCTTATGTAATTTCCTGAAATGACATATTTTTACGCGTTTTTCTTCGAAAGAGAATATATAATTTGAAATTATTCAAAGAAATCAATGGGCGTGACTTCGTATTTGATTGAACGCGTTATCTATTACGCTCGAATAAAAAAGTGGAATTTTGAACATTATACGAATATATGAATGAATGGATGTGAGATCAAGTACGAATTTCGAAAGCATGTGGAATAGTAGAGATTTTTGTATTTTGAAAAAGAAAATAGAAAATAATAAAGGGAGGGCGGGAGAGAGAGAGAGACTTTACATTATTATGGAATTAACGTAAATGAGAGAATTAAATTAACGAAACGAGAGGAAAATGAAGAGAGAGAAGTGGTCAGCTCTTCTCTTGGATTTCTTAATTAAGCTCCAGCTTCACAGAAAAGTCTCACTTATTCAACCAGCGAATAAATAGCAGATCAATCAATCAATCAATTGAAAGATAAATAAAATATTACAATGTTGTGTGCCGCATACATATATGCGTTGATGTATCAAACAAATCCATTGTTGTCTTCTAAAATATATTATGTAACCTTTGCATTACATTGCTTTGCATTTAAAGTTGTTTCCTTATCTTTAAGCTAACGTAAAAAAAGCTATTATGATTCAACACAACAATTCTAAATTTTAAATTAAATTTTTAAAATAATCAAAAAGTTAATATCGTAGCGATAGTCACTGTACGATTACATAATAAAAAAAAATTTGAGTTTGATGTAGATCGATATTTTCCGTATATCTTTTATGCTCGGAGATAATAGTAAACGTGTCTCCCTCGGAAACAAAGGTAAATAAATCGTTTATTAACAACGAAGAGGCTAATCGTTGGTTTTTACCGATTTGAAAAGATTATGATCACGTAATTTCTATAAGTTTCAATCTCTCGACTATCGTTTGTTCTCATTAAACATTCTTTGGGGCAGTAGCATGTTTGAAAGCAAAATTGCATTGAATATAATCTTTGTTATTAAACGGACAAAAAGGTCATGCCCGTAAATGCGTGATAAAATGTGATGTTTGTTCGAAAATTAAGGAATAATAACCGGTTTTTGAACAGGTTATATTACAGACCGGGCGACAATACAATATTCCGTGAACACGTGCATTCTTTGATGGTGATGATGACGATGACGATGATGATGTTAAATATAATTATTTGAGGGATTTTAGACAAGAAATGGTAGAGACACGTGGGTAGTACATTTTAAAACTATGTCATACGTGCTTATTACATACAAGAAAAGATGAGAATTTACCCTTCTCTCGATCCAATGATTCATCCACGATTAATCAAACATCCAGTTGTAATCATTGCATGACCGAATTTTTCTATCTTTAGAACTTTATTCACTTTCTTGGATAATAATGTCACCTATATTGGGTATCTTAAATAAGAACATCAACAATCATTTTAACAACAATATTCATATGATTTATCATATCAGATTTTTTTTTCTTTATCCAGCAGACGTATTAATCTCCTTTTTCAAACGGATATCATGATTACTAATACTACTATTACTACTACTACTACTACTACTACTACTACTACTACTACTACTACAACTAATATCATTTTACTACTACGATTATCATTATTGTTACATTGCGGCCGTAATTTAGTGGTTAATAGTCAGTAGTAATGGTAATAATAAAAGTTGTGGTATTAGTAGTAATAATATTGTTATTGTTATTGTTGTTGTTATTATCGCTATTATTTGTTATTGTGTTGGGGTTGAGAATGTATGTGTGTTTGTGGCTTTGAATGAAGGTGAATGTGTATGCGCTGAAACACATTGATTGGGCTTAGATACATACAAACACATGCTAATTAATTTATCACCTAGTTAAAAGATTTTTTTAAATCCTCGAATTTCTTGATCCCACTCTCATCGAAGTTGATTTATCATCCTCCTAAAAAAATGATGATTTAATTTATCGTTTGTTTATGCACGCACATCA